CTTCTACTGTTTCATTTAAAAAGCCTCTATAATGTTCATATGATCCACACAGTCATTCTGACAGACTGTAATACACTACAGGAAGTGTAGGGGGCGATATGGCTTCTACTGTTTCATTTAAAAAGCACTTTTAATATAATCATTTTGATAGACACACAAATGGGGCATGTTATTATTACACATAGATACTAATATATTGTTATAATTATTATTACATATAATGCACATGGGAGGTGTGTATATTGTGTAAAAAGCTGCTTTTGTGTGTGTGTGTGTGTGTGTGTGTATGTGCGTGTGTGTGTGTGTGTGTATGTGTGTGTGTGTAGGGGTCCGTCTGGAGTGAGGGCGCAGGCTCTGGACCCCGAGGGGAACCTGGTGGATGATTTTGTTTTCGATGGTGGTGTGGGGGAGCTCGGCAGTCGAGTGCTGCATGTCCGCAATGCGCCGTCGCCGGCTGCAACCTCCTCCCTCGCCATCGCCGAGATGATCGCAGACGAGCTGGAGGCGCGCTTCAGCCTGTAGACACACAGGGGGAACAGACCGGGACAGAAACCGGGAGGCTCAGAGCTGACCAGAGCTGACCAGAGCTACCCAGAGCTGACCAGATCTGACCATGTTCAGTATAACGTTCTGCACACTGAGATAACAGCTGTCCTTTAACACAGCAGCTAACAGTGCTGCTCTGAACGAACTTAAAGCGATAGTTTGGTGAAAAATCGTGTTTACACAATTAACAGTCATACAGTGTCAGAAACCACATAATCAACTCCGTTAGAGATTACGTGGAGTTAGCACAGGGCTAATTGGTGGGGTAAAAGCATCCATTAGCTGTGAGCTACATGCATACAAAAGAAGGTTCTTCAAGGGTTCTTTAGTAAAGACACTGGGCCTCGTTCACCAACTGTTCTTAAGTAGAAATTTCTTCTTAAACCCACTTACGCAGTTTTGACAAAGACTCTGACTCACCAGTGTCTCTTATGTGGGGTTTGTTCTTAGGTAAGAACAGAATCTACACACTCAAGAACACAAAGGAGAGAACAGTTCTGCGCTTTAAGAACACATCATGAATCTGACGGAGACTTTTTCTTAAGACCTTTCTCAAGAACACACTTAAGAACAGACTTAGGAGGATATCGGAGAATGAGGCGCAATGGTTCTATAAGTATTTAATGGTGAAGTGGTTCTTCAGATTGATCAAGAATGTGTTGTATATGGTTCTATATAGTGCCAAAAAGGTTCTATTTGTTACAAACCTGGAATCGTAACAATAGCAGAACACTTTTTGGCGCTGTTTAGAACCCTTTTCAAAAAGGTTCAGAATAACTATATACAGCACGTTGTCCATCAATTTGATAGAACCATGCAAAGAACCATTTAAGCATGCAAGTGGTTCTTTGAGTGTTCATAGTTCTATGTAATGCCGTTCTCTTTACTAAAGAACCCTTGAAGAACCATCTTGTGTACCTTAGCCTCGTAGCTGCTGTGCTAAAACTAAAGAAGCAGCAGAAGTGTCCGAGCTAATCAACCTTATTTGTGATCATTTGGGGTAAAACTATGTAAATTGAATTGTTGGCCAAACTATCGCTTTAAAGTCCAACAGCACCTTCAAACGTGCACTATTTTATAAACATTTATTCTGTCAAACTGCCTTTTTTACACAGCACGCCGCTAAGATTGATTATTGACATTTTTCAGGCTCATTAATTATCATTATCTTATTGACCAGTGTTAAACTATAATGTTCATGATATCGTAATGCACAAGAATATTAGGCCTCGGTTTGGAAACTTAAGCATTATTTTCTGAAATAAATGACGGTGTGAGAGTTTTTTCCTAAGCTGAAGCAGGATGTGAGAGCTGGGGTGTTGCTGTTTTAATTCCTTTATTTTGTAATTACATTTTCTTAATTTGTGTCAATAGATGAGTATTTTGTCAATAAAATATCCACAAGAGGGAAATTCAGTGCTTTAATTTGTTTATTTTGGCCTTTAGTTTCAGTCAGTGAGCCAAGATTAAAAATGAGGTTATGTTGACACTGATAAACTCGTTTGTGCCGCACGAAGGTCATGAGCGCTAAAACCAGTATTATGCTTAAATATGTGAGCCGCCTGTGATGTGCAGCAGCGTCCACAAGAGGGCAGCGCAGTTTCTTCACCGGACAGTTCAGGATTTATTTATTTTATTATTATTCATTTAATTTAAACATCAGGAGACACAATGTGTCCAACTTCAATTTCTATACAGCTTCTATTCTTGATCAAATTCTCCGTTCCACCTTAAATGGAGGCGCCAGATCGTAACAGTTGCACCATTTAAGGTGGAACTGAAAATTGGAATTAAGAAATCAGTTTATAAGAAGTTTAATTTAAAAGGCACTTTATAATATAATCATTCTGATAGATACACAAATGGGGCATGTTATGGTTCCTCAGATTGAAGGAGAATGTGTTACATGCGATTGTGTGTAGAACCTTTTTGAAAATGGTTCTACGTAGCACCAAAAACTGTTACAAGCTTGACATCGTAACAATGACAACACATTCTCCATCAATCTGAGGAACCATTTCACCATGCAGAGAACCATTTAAGCATGCAAATGGATCTTTGAGTGTTCTAGACACATAGAAATACACATATTTGCTGAAGAACCCTTGGAGAACCATCTTTTTTAAGAGGTTTTTTAAAGGTACCTTTATTGACTCAGAGTTGTTTCACTGCGGGAACAGAACTCCTGACTCACTGTTATACGACAGGAAACAGCCATCAGCAGATAAATGGTCTGACATTTGGAGAGTTCCTTAAAAGCGAAAGCGTTTCTGACCCGGTTCTGAAAGCGTTTCTGACCCGGTTCTGAAAGTAAAGCACGCTGGGAGCTGAATATTTCAGTGCTAGGTTTGTGCTTCGCTGTGTGCTTCGCTGTGCAGGCAGGCCGGATCGGTCTGGACTGCTGAGACGATTCGCCTCCAGCCTGAACATCACTCAGCTCCCATCCATCAGCGATGAGTTCAGCAGGAGCGCAGTGACCGCTGCACAGTTTAACCACCGCGACCTGCAGCTCTGCAGCTCTGCAGCTCTGCATATCAGGGTCACTCAGCCTCAGCGCTGCAGTGCAGTCGGCCTGCGCAGCCACACTCACGGTTTTATTACACTTATTATATGGATTAATATATCATAGTTAATATACCGAGGCCACAGGTTACTATATTGTCATGAGCTGCGAGAAACTTAACTAGTGGCCTCAGTATATTAATTGGTGGCCTCTATTTATATTTGTGGCCTTAATATAGAAATTGGAGTTCTGTAGAGAGGAGAGCTTAAGGAACATTCCTATTCCATACTGCGGGCATAGATTAATATATTGAGGCCACAAAAAATTATATACTGAGAACATAATATATTGAGAATATAAAGTAAGATATTGGGGCCACAATTAATCTACTGAGGCCACAATTTACTATGATGAGGCCATGAATTACTATATTGAGGCCACAGTTTACTACACTGAGGCCACAAATGAATATATTGAGGCAACATATTTTAATGAGAAACGTAACTTCTGACCTCAATATATTAATTTTCTTTATCAAAAAATAATCACCATGTCACCTTAGAGGCCATAAATGAATATATTGAGGCCACAAATTAATATGTCGAGGCAAATAATTACTGTATTGAGGCCACAAATTTACTATATTAAGAACATGAATTGATATATTGAGGCCTCTGATTTCTATATGTAGGCCACATATATTTATGAGGAACGTAACTCGAGGACACAATATATTAATTTGCGGCCACGCTTTATCGAAAACAATCACCACGTCACATTAGGGCTCCGTAGAGAGAAGAGCTAAGGAACATTCCTATTGGACAATCCTAACTTTTGCCTAAAGTTATCCGGTTAACCGAGGAACCCCGCTTTGTGAAACGTTTCAAACGCATCAGTTAAACTTTCACTACGCTGTATTTCAAACATACCTTCTCTACAACACCGCCCCTCCCTGCTTGTGACCAGCCAATCAGAGGGCTTAGAGGGGCCTGAATTCGTACACATGTGGGCGTGGTCCAAACCGAGACGCCCCGCCCCATCTGTGCGTCATTCGCGGGAAGTCCACGCGAGGACGCGAAATTGAGCGAGTGAGTGCGGCGCTGTGATTCTTCCGACAAGGAGCCCAAACAACAACAACAACAACAACAACAAATAAACAAACAAGAAGCCGAAGAAAAACAAACAGAGGCTCCCTGCTCTGCGCTGGACTGTGATGGATTTAAACACCGGGCGTGTTTATTTTATCGGACCCTGAGCGGAGCATGAGCGCTGAATGCGGAGTCTCGCGGCCCCAGCGGCGCTCGCGCAGCAGCAGCAGCAGCACCAGCAGCGGCGGCGGCGCGCGGCGCTGCCAGATGTGCGGCTAGCTAGCGCCCAGATTAGCTTTGGGCAGAAAGAAGCAGCCAGCGCGGATTAGATTAAAACCGAGTTTGTGTGAAAACTCACTTTATCAAGTCTGAACCTGGCTTAGATGGATGTCAGAGGTTTCAGTTTAAAGTTTTTTTGGATTTTGGCCCCAGAAAGCGGCCCGATTAGCTTCAGCTAAGCTAACGGAGCTAATTAGTGGGCAGGTAGTTAGCCGGTGAGCTAACGCGCGCGAGGCTGAAGAAAATCCTAAAAGGCGCGAATTTCGCTGAGGTAAAGTCAGTGAGTGATTGTGAAGCTGCGCTGAGGCGAGTCGCGCCGGATTGTTTGAATTATTTACTTAAATATCGAGATATTTCTTGTTGGGACTTGTAGTTTAGCTCGTTCGCTAGCCGGACGAGCGGGGCGGAGCGGAGCGGAGCAGCCCCTCCGCGGTGGTTGGTGGGTTAGGCCGGTTCGTGTGTCGGTGTGACCCCGATGCGGTCGGTCTGGTCCCGCAGGCATGCAGCCGCAGCACGGCTATGATTTCTCCAGCGAAGAGAACAGCCCAAAATGGAGAGGCCTCTTCATTCAGGCGCTGAGAAAGGTGAGTAAAAAGCGGTGGAAACTCATCAACCGGGGAAATAATAAAACTCCCCCTAACCAGGTCTGGCCTGAAGTTGGCTTCTTTTTCGAATTTCTCGTTCCACCTTAAATGGTGCAGCAGTTACATTCTGGCGCCTGAGGATGAGGAGAATGTTGCTAACTGCTGCACCGTTTAAGGGGGAACGAGAGATTCGAAGAAGCGGAGCGGGAGGAATGTGTTTATATTATGATTACGATCTCTGAGCTGAGATTAAACGTTAGCTTGTTTCTGATAATAACAAGGCACGATAGCTTTAAACCAGTTAAAGTTCACCTTCATGATGTGCCATTTCAACCTGTTAGCTAGAGGTGGGCGAAATGGCAAAATGTCATCACGATACTTCAGGAAATTTTTTGTTACAATACACGATGTGTCACAATATTTATTTTTGTCTGATGAAAACTGTGAGTTCAATTGCTTGTAATCAACATTTCACACTCGTTTGAATCAAAGAAGCAGCTGGTCAGTGTTTTCAAGTACTGCTGTTGATGGTGCTGTTCTGTGTAAATTAGGGCTGCACGGTATTGACATAAAATACGACATATCGACGATACAAGAAGCGGTACTTATTATTAAAAGTGTGCCTCTGACTGGATGTGATGCAGATTTTTTTGGATGCATTAACAGAAATCTAACTTAATGAATGATTAAAGAAGAATCATTCAATACTATGCAAAATAAAAAGAAAATAAATACTAAAATCTGCTTAGATGAGGACAGTTTGTGCTGTACATTAGTGTAGTGAGGTCTCTCTAGCACTTTGTGTACGAGGTTATCTGATCTGTTATTGCTGCTCTAATGATGCGTTTATCGTAGAAGCTCATGACAATAACAATAAAAATACGATTTATCATACAGCCCTGGCGTAAAAGCTGCTCTCCTTTACCTAACCTTAACCGTAACCCTAAATATCAGCTTTGTCCTCTTTTACTTTCTTTAACGAAAGCTGTGAGTATTTTTTAGCACCGATCCTCATGTAGCGGTTAGAGCAGTCGAGTTTAATATTCGCACATATGAGACAAATCACTTTCGGATGTAAAACAACATTCGGCACTATTTTTACAAGGCTAAAGTTGGCCTTCTATTCGCCAGCTTCTTTTTCAGAATTTTCCAGTCCACCTTCAATGATGCAGCAATGTTACCGCTGCTCCATTTAAGGTGGAATGGGAAAATCTATATAAGAAGCTGACTTCAGCTTCATACTAATTTTGCCACGCTGTGGGCTTTACATACATTCACCTTTGTCTAGTTAGGGTTAGAAAGCAATATTGAGATCTGTCTATATATCATATGTTGTTAATTTCTGTTTTTACTAGTTTGCCAATTAAAAATATTTTAGGTTTACTTCAAATCAAATATTCACTTCACAACTGCATGTTGGGAAAAATAGAGTATAATTAGACCTGTAACTGGACTTAGCGCAGCACATTGTGTAAAATGTCGAATACTAATAACTGAATGCATAGATTTGACAGCCTTTTTGAACATGGTCTGTTCTAATTTATCAGACATCAGGAAAAATGATGACACATCATGTATCGTAAAAAAAACTTCCTGAAGTATCGCGATGTGAAGTTTTGCCATATCGCCCACCTCTAGTGAGAATGCACATGCACATCTGTAATATAAGCAAGCTAGATTAAGCAGGTTTATACATTCAGTCGTGTTTATGGTTCTCTTCTGTATAAGTATGTGTAAATGCTGCTGTGCTTCACAGAACTCTAACCTTAAAGATCAGCTTCTTTTACTTTATCTAACAGCAGCTACAGGTCTTTTTAGCATCATTTCTCATGAAGAGCAGAACCCACAGTGACAGAATGGTCATCTTTTTGTCATCCTGGGAACATGGGGTCCTCACAAAGAGATAAACACATACTGACACACACACTAACAGTGAAAAATACAGAAAGTGTGGATCTTCAGCCTGTGTTCGACAGCAACGTGACTACAAGTAGTTACTTAAGCTATTAATCTGACTGCATTTCCATATGTTAACATTTCCATTGTCAGTTTATTAGAGCGTTCTTAAAGCAGTATAAAAGTGCAGTCTTTGATACAAAAGTAGAGCTGGGCAAAATGGCAAAAATATAATTTTGCAATACGTAAAGAAATTTTCACGATACTCGAAATGTCACAGTATTTATTTTTTCAGACGTATGATCAGTTGGAACAAAGAAAAAAGAACCAATAGTGCAACATTTTAAAAATACTATCAAAACTGTTAACATAATGATTCATATTCAATATTTGGCACTAAATCCAGTCAAACGGGTCTAATTTTGCTTTCTTTATAATGAAACATGCAGTTGGTCAGTGTCTCCAAGTACTGATGATACACACGAGATGTTCAGCTTTAGACTTTGAAGACACACGATATATTCTGTTGTTACATCCTTGATTTCCCAGTAGTGTGGTGGTAGTGCTGCTGTTTTCCGAATCAAGTAGTGAGGCTGTTTTACTGATTTAGCAGTGAGCTAGCATAATGTAAACGTTACATCAGTTCCTCCTCACAGGCTATATATCAATTCACAACGATTATAAAATGCACTGCACTAAATTAGAGTACAGGGCTTATGCTGTATGTTTTAATATAAAATGTAGTTGGTCAGTATTCTTAAAATGCTGACAATACCCACAATATTCTCAAAAAATATATTGTGACGTAATTTATCATAATGATGAAATATCATCAGATTGTCAAGCCCTAGGTCACAAAAGGCTTTTCTGATCATATTGTGGATATCATGAATACTTAAAAACACTAACTATGTATGTGTTTGATTATGAGGAGTGAACAATTAGGCCTGGTTAATTGAGTTTATTTCAGTGCATAATGTTCTTTGATCATATTCTTAAAATGTGGCACTACTTTATCTGTTCCAGTTCATCAAATGCCAGTAAAAACAAATAGTGTGACCCGTTGTGTGTCGTGAAAACATCTTGAAGTACTGTGATATTGCATTTTTGCTGTTACCCTTCTCTGCTATTAAACTGAAGTTGTTATTTGCGTTCTGAATTTCAGATTTTCAGAGACACCTAATTTTACTATCAGGTTATGCAGAGCATAATGTGACCAGATAAAGAAGAGCTGTCTGTGAAGCAGTAAACTCTATGACAGAATTACGTACAAACTCAATGACAACATTATGTACGATTTCAAAGTATTTGGCAATAAATTTTCTGAAAGAAAACCATGGAAATTTTTTTTGCAACAAAAAACGATGTAGTAATTAAGTGGTTAAGATGTAATCAGAGAGGTTCAGAGCGGTTCAGAGTGGTTTGGTGTGAAACACTCTGTTCTAGAGAAGCTTACTGAGTCAGAACTGTTCACAGTGGTGGTGATAGGAACCAGACGTCCACCTCTAAAATCTCCCTCACAGAAAGTTACTACAGTAAATGGTTATGAATTCACTGCCTGATGACTGAGACACTGTTTTATGATAGTTTTGAGAACTTGAAATCCATTCATGGTGGAGGGATACATGCAGGGTGTTATGCGACTCAGAAGACTCGTGTAGGTTCACTGGTGGTTTTGATAGTAAATAAAATGTCTATATTTGTGTTGTAGTCATGGCGACCTCTGGTTCCTATCACCACCACTGTGAAGACATCTGAACCATTTCACACCAAACCACCCTGAATCACTTAAACGCTAAATTATGCAGAATTTTTTAAACATCAGTGGAATTTCCCTTTAAATGCTCATAAACACGTTGAAGGAATTATTGCCAAAATTGTCTCAGTTATCAGATTATTTGTACATGTAAACATACCCACTTTTCTCAGCTCTAGGTTTTCTTTTTGCAGCGTATGATTAATTTTAGATCTTTTTTTACCCTCTTTTTGTCTTTCTGCTTGAGTTTCACTCTCTTCTCTTATTTCTCCTCCTAGTTGTTGTTGTGCTCATTGGTATGTTGGATGGGAGAGACTATTAAAACCTGAATGAATGTATGTACAGTATCACTGAGTCAGGTGACCCTGGGAGCAGGTGCTGTATGTGTATGTGCACCCACGCTTGCGTGTTCTAACAAGTTTCTGTTTTTATACAACTTCTTATGGCAAAATAGAGCGAGACAGTGACGTCAAAACGGTCTTGACTCACTGTGTGTGTGTGTGTGTGTGTGTGTGTGTGTGTGTGTGTGTCTGTGTTTGTGTGTGTGTGTGTGTGTGTGTTTGTGTGTGTGTCTGTGTGTGTGTGTGTTTGTGTGTGTGTGTGTGTGTGTCTGTGTGTGTGTGTGTGTGTGTGTGTGTTTGTGTGTGTGTCTGTGTGTGTGTGTGTATGTGAGTGTGTGTGTGTGTGTGTGTGTGTGTGTGTTTGTGTGTGTGTCTGTGTGTGTGTGTGTGTCTGTGTGTGTGTGTCTGTGTGTGTGTGTGTGTCTGTGTTTGTGTGTGTGTGTGTGTGTGTGTTTGTGTGTGTGTCTGTGTGTGTGTGTGTGTATGTGAGTGTGTGTGTGTTTGTGTGTGTGTGTGTATGTGAGTGTGTGTATGTGAGTGTGTGTGTGTGTGTGTGTGTGTGTGTATGTGAGTGTGTGTGTGTGTTTGTGTGTGTGTGTGTGTGTGTGTGTGTGTGTGTGTGTGTGTGTGTGTGTGTGTGCATGCTTGACTCATGTGGAGTGTTTGTTTTTTTTCTCGCAGAGGGGTTTCCCTCTGTTTAATGGAGCTGCTGGCGTACCCATCGCCATGCCAACCAGCCAGAGACAGAAACCGAGAGACGATCAGCTACTTAGTCATTTTGCTTTTTGGTGGAAGAAACACATTTAATCACGCTAAGGAGTTTTTTTTAGAAATGAAGGTGTGGTGCAGTGTCAAAAAAATAGTAATGACTGTAAAGGGTTGTAAAAATTTTTTGTAAATCCAACTGTTGTCTTGAAAAGACAGTCATTTCATTAGAACACATAAAGAAGAATATAAACAAAAGTGCAATATTTATATAACAGTAGGGCTGTCACGATCATTAAATA